TTTTTTTTTTTAAATTTAAATATGCGAATTCAACCTTGTTTTAATTTTGCATTCAATTCATATTTTTTTGAATTAATTCAATTGATGCATCTAAAGTGTTTGTAAAAATGAGAATTTGGAAAAGTGACGTTCTTTTGAAAAAGTCGAAATATCTTATTGGAGCAATTAACTAGATGTATATGTGCGTATTTTTGAAAATTTACAGCATCACATGGAACAATTAACTGGATGCATACATATATGTTTTTGAAAAGTTAAATATACGAATTCAAATATTATTTTACGTTAAAAAGTGACATGATGTAACACTTTATTTGTGTTTTTGCATATGATCGAGTTATAGTGCTGGAAATTAAAAGTGACATACTATCATTTAAAAAAAAAAAAAAAGTCTCACAATTTCTTAGTAATTTTTTTGCAGATATGAATAAAATTGAATCACCTTCGACAAACATTCAATTAAGTGACAAACACTCAAAAAGTGTCATACACTCAAGAAGTGACACAAATTTTAAAAAATGACGAAAAAAGTGACAAAACATGGATCAGATCTTATTTGTCTTTGTTTAGGATAGTTAGAAATATAAATAAAGCTACCACATATACTATTTTTATTGAAAGTGCAAACTATTATCCAACACCACATAAAATCAAACAAACCTTAACTGCCTAAGATTTTCAGTCTTCGAGTGGCCTGTCTTAGAGAAACAACATTGCGTTTTAGATTTTCCTCTGATAACCAAGGGAAAGAGATGGCATTTCACACAAGGGTTGATTCTACGTTGAGGTGCTCACTTAGGTTTGGGTTTTAGTTAGTAGTTTAGGACGTAATAATTACCTGTTTAAAAGAATATATACGAATAATTTTATTTATTTATTTATGAAATTATGTATATAATGTGAAAATTATTGAATAAACTAAAATGTAATATTTTTTGTCAACGTCCCACAACTTTTCTTCATTTTATTTTCTACTTTTGCAAAGACTTTTGTTGTTTGTATTGAAACTCCCCGAAAAAAGTGCGATAAGTTATAAGGAATGAAGTCTTCAATTTCCTCTATCTCAGTTTTCGTCGTGAGGATGAAATTGCACTAAGGGTTGATTACTCTTATTTTTCCATTACAAAGTTGGTATTTTTTTCCTTTCTCAAGTATGGAAAATAACTTTTTGATTGCGTCCTTAAGTAATGTAGTTTGGATTTTACTTCTCTGAAAAAATTATAAAAAAATAAATTATTAAACTAACAGTGAAACTTATATAAGAAAAGTATTGACCAATTCTGGCATCATACAAAATTAGTTTTAAAACTTCAATAGGTTGTTCTTGTTGATGTAGATTTCAATGGAACCTTTTTGAAGTATGTATATTTTTATAATCCACTTCAAATGCAGATAGTTATCTTATAAAGAAATTCAACACACCCATATTAGCTTTAGAACTCACCTCTACGATGGAGTGAACAATGGAGAGAGAGATTATTCCCTTCGTCCCACAAAAATAAACTTATTTCCACTTTTACTTAAATTAAGAAATTTATTTCATATAGTTAGAATAATGATTTTTTAATTTATATATTTTTAATATATTTCTATATAGTATAATTACAAGTAGTTCATATTGATTGATAACCACATGAGTAGATATTGGGAGGAGTATTTTTTTTTTTTTAAAATCTGACATGACAACACATGGATTCTTTGTGATGATGTTTGCTGTAGCCTCTGTGCCGACAAAAGTCACAAAACTACGACCGCTTGTGTTATTATCTTGATCAGTCTTCTGTATATAATAAAATAATAGTAATAAAAAACAAAACAAATATTTATGAAATGTGCTGGGTGTACAATCATTAGATGATTGTAAATCTTACAACCTCTCACGTTAGTGTGGAACCCACAATTTAATTAATTTGCGCGTCTTACTAATGTGAGAGGTTGTAAAATTTTATTAAATTGTGGATCCCACACTAATGTGAGAGGTTGTAAAATTTACAATTATCTAATGATTGTACAAGTGGAAAAATTCAACATTTATTTGATTACAGATTTTTAAGATCTCAGGAGTAATAGACTATTATGTGGTAAGTTAATTACTACCAAAGATTCCTAAGAAATGACAAAAATTAATAAAAGATTCTATAGTAATTACTGTGTTTTTTAGGACAACACTAGAATCAAGCCAAAAAAAAAACTAGAGTCTTGAAATACTGTCTTGATATTTTTAGATTCCAAATCCCAGTTATATTTTTCCAGAAAAAGAAAGAGCTCACCCCTTAGTTTTATTTTTCTTGAAGGTTAAATTCGTGTTAATTTTCAACAAAGATGGTATGCAAAACTGAACAATTTTGGAATTTGAGAGATTTAGTGGGCGCTTTTCTTGATCTCGCCATTGCTTACTGCTTGCTTTGTGCAGCAACTATTGCTTATTCGGCAACAAAAATTCTGAGCTTTTTTGGATTATCCTTACCATGCCCTTGTAATGGGCTGTTTTTCACCACCCCCAACAAAAATTACAGCTTGCAAAGGGTTTTAGTTGATTA